AAAAAAAAAAAAAAAAAAACACCAGCTGCCTGAGTGCACCAGCAGCCAATATTCAATCTCCTGACACCCGCGTAAATGTATTAGATGGTATCAGAACACGCTCACAGTCGCCCGCAGGCTAAAGCTGGAAAATTGCTTATAACCAACGCTTGTTTAACATTTATTGTCTTGACTGAAAATTTGACATCTTGTACATAACAATGATACCATAATAAGTGTTATGATTATCACTTAGGGGTTTAATTCTGTAAATCTTCCTTCAACGATGAGCCTCTTTTTTTGTATGTAATGCATGAAATTAGGCAGTTTGCTTCATTATAAATCTCGCAGCGAGTTGGCTTTAGGACACACTTAACGATACGATGTGCTGATTCTGTTACTCTAATAGAGCTGACCGTATTAATCCCTGCAGAACTGTGGCTTACAGTAGATCCAGCTGTACTGTTCTGTCAGCATTTCCAGTGGCCTTACAGGGACTAATTACTCCTTCCAAAACCTCAAAGTTTGCACTGCAGAGTAAACAAAGCAACGCAGGCCTTAATCTATACTGTCACAGCCACGTACGGCCTCAAGCTGCATCATTTGTAGCTACTGATAAACTGGCGTAATGATTTTACACAGTCTTTTTCGTCTACGTTGAACAGCCTTGAAATTGGTCTTATCAGCTCGAGTTCTCCTCACGCCGCCACACCCTCTTCATCCAGAGGAGGTGTGAACAGCACAGGATGACATTCAAAGCTATTTCCAGTTCACAGCTGCAGATTAGTCAGTATCACGTCTCAGGATAGATTTTGTTGAAAAGAAAAAAAAGAAAACAACGAAGAAAATAAAAGCCTTGAACACAGTAATTTTAATAATAACCCAACACTGCTGCCTTTTCTGGTCCAATGTACTGTATTATTCTGTCAGAACGGGTCATCAAAGCCATGCTTCAAGTAGGTTTAGAAACAATACAGATCTCCATGGAGAAGGGCTGAGCAGGATCATGACCTTTATCTGAATATGAGTGTGTGCGCTTTAAAAAAAACAATATATGCAGCATGTAAATAAATAATTATAAGCACCACACAGATTTTATTAGAGTCAATTGTAATTTCAGATTATAGTAAAGCTCTGATTTCTTAAATCTTAACAAATCATCACCCAGAGGTGGTTAATGCATGGGCCAGTTGTGGCATTGACAGATTTCAGCCACATGAACCAAACCACAAATGGGCCAGTTGTGGCATGTCATCTTAAAAACAYTGCCATTATTGCTAGACCTGGCCCTCATCCAGTTSATAAACCACTTMCCATGCAAGCAGTCAGCCACCGGTGCCAGCTTGACATCAGATCTGGCTCACAGCTGTCTGCTARGCAACTAAAATATTTAACTTTTATTTGCATTTGACTCCTGGAGGTAAACTATGTGTCCCAGAAAGTTATGTGGACATGAACCTGTTTATTTAGAAACTGGTACATAAATGGAAACTCTTGACCTTCATTTTACTGAGCAGTAAATTCAGCAGCAGACAAACACTTTAACATCTCTGGTAATTAATGTCTTAAAAAACACCTTACACATATTAATTATTCACTCAGTAACAACTTTCACACCAAATATGTGCTACTGTTGACACAAATTAGTGCTTAACTATGATGCATTTAAAGAATGGAGAAAAAAATCGGACTATTGAGTGTTCAAACCAGTGGTTCAGGTTAAACCTGAACAAATATCACTAGCTGGATAAGTGTATCCCCAATAGTAAAAATACATTTCTGTYGCCAAACCCTGACCCTTACCCTAAACTTAACCACCCTCAGTATAACCTCCGACCCAAAAATGGCATCCCATCATATTAAGACCAGTCTCTGGTCCCCAAAAGGTAGGTCTTTATACCAGAAAAAGTCCTAAAAGGAWAACGAAAACCAGGTGTACACACACACACGGAACCATTAATTTAGGTCATTGCTACCCATACTAACATCCACYTTTCTCTTCCAAGGTTTTTTACTCACAGCGCTAAAGCTGTATTTTAATTCAAATGTTCCTCAAAGTGTGAAAAATTATAAACACCCTCTGTGCCAAGTGTGGATTACTGGGCTCTTCACCACCAAAACTCTCTGAGGTAAAGTTWTTTTTTTTCACCATTTGTGTTCGGAAATCCCCCCGTTGATCAGTAATCATAAGCAACTCAGTGAGAAATCTGTGCTGTTTTGGAAAATTCAAAACAATACAAGTAACAGTAAATTCCTGACACMTTTAGGAGGGACTACCTCTCCTCTTCATCACTGACACCATTTTGCTTTGAAAACATACTGAAACCAAACCGAAGAGATGCTGTTAGCATAGATGTATTACCTTGGCGAATAACTGCAGAGGTCAAAGGTGATGTTCCAGTAGCTCAGTCAGTGGTCAGGACAAGGGTTTGACAGACAAAAATTGAGTGAATAGTGAGCATAACATGAAAAGGAAGCAACGTAAAGTAAAATGAATAGGCAAGTATATGAAGAAAAACAAAACAAAAGGAGAGGAAATATTAGTGCAGCACAGTTAACTGGATGAGCTCAGGGTGTTGAGGTGGCTGGGAGGAAGGGAAAAGCAAAAAACCAATAGACCCCATACCTTGGCGGTTTAACATCAGGTGCGCCAGACCTTGAGGGAAAGAACAGAAAAAAGGATACGGAAAAAACAGGAAGTTCATAAAAGAGGTTCGGGAGAACAAAAGCATTGTCACAATGTTGGACTGCAGTTTGTGACAGACATCCTGGGGGGAGGGAGGAGGCGGGTAAGTACGGATGTCAAGAGTTCGAAACTTAAAAAGGGGGGGGGGGGGTAAATCAAAAACTTAAACAGACAAACATCTCAAGGGAGGAGCGGGAAGGCAAGGGAGAGGAAAAAAACATCTTGACCGATGCAACTCTCACAGGTAGTTGCTCACACAGATGCTTTTTCCGAATGGAACACAGATTGTATGTTTACTTGATGCAGACGTCTGAAATGTGCCGCGAATACACAGAAACCCGCTTGATTTCAGAAAACACCTCATGTAGGAAAACATAAAGGTAATTCTCTGTTTTCTTCTTCTGGTTTCTATATTGCAGCTCCTTCCCATTTCATCAAATATGGAGATTTCCCATAAAAAACCTGTTGAGCCAGTTTAACCCTCTTCACAGCTCCAATTCTATAAATAGGGCAGAAGTGACACCATTCCTTCTCCTTTTGGTTTTTAGTGACCTGCATTCACACCTCCTCAGGGGATTTATTTTGTAATGTTGCACATTTGAAGGACGGGAATGCTGATTTTATTTATTTATTTTTATTCYYGGACAGATGGGTCAGCTGAATAAAGTTTTCAGTTTTCAACTGTGCAGCAATTTTTAAACAATAAGAAAGCCGACATATTCAGTGTAACACGACACTGTTCCCTCATTTTAATAGGATCAGCAGGTTTACGACACAGACTGTACAAACGTTACCATAAACCCGTGAATACTACATAAACATAGATCCTTGCTGGATGTGACTATATGTGGTTGTGAACACAAAAAAAATATGCCAAAAACACGGCTTGGTACAAACCTTTGTGGGCTCATGTTTCTGTATAAGTTTAGTGCAAAAGGAAACAGAAAAATGCCACATGCTATGTTCTTTTTTTGCTTATTTTGAACAAAATATACTTAATTCGAATCGGAATCAATTYTACTTGTCCTAGAAGACGAGACAAAAATACCAAACACCCTCGCTGGTGGGGAATGTCCGACATTGGCAAGGTAAGATTGGTCAACTGGTAATTTCCCTTTAAAACAAATAAAGAAATAGATCAGACACCTTATATGGCAACCTTTGTCTGGACCACACAAGGCACTAACAGGCCCAGATACCGCAAAGAATGATGACCCTTTGGTGGTCCGGATGTAGTTTGCCAGAGGTGATCGATGCCTGGGCCAACACCAGTTAAACCAAACTACAACCWTGTGGCATTCCARCTTAAAATCAAAGCCATCATTGCCYGACCTGGCCYACATCCTGTCGACAAACCCCTAGCCAWCTGTAGGCATGGTTCTGGTAATCGGCTAACAGCCATTAGCGGAACTATTTTTTTTGTTTAGTGGAATAGCTTCATTTCATTTTTTTACTAACTTTAAAAATATTAGCAGACCTATTAGCTTCTGCTAAATTAGGTTTTGCCAACTTAGTGTCTAAACGTAGTGTCCAAAAGGAATGGAATCTCTTTTATTGAGAAAATAGTTCAAAAATAGGAAGTAATTTGGCCCTGGCTTGGTGCAAAACAAAAATCAATAGAGAATGRAATATCTCTCAGTGTGAAAGTACAAAACAAATGTGTTCAATACTGAAGCCTATTTGAGGTTTGATAATAATAAAAGCATGGYGATGTATTTAATTGTGTTTATCATAGTGAGCATTTTAAAGCAAGTTAATCATGACCCTTTGGTCTTTCCATACATTCAAACATTGCTGTTCCCTGCTGCTATACACTATTCAGAAAGGCAAATGTTTTTCACTCCATTATCTGAACTAGATATTCTTGCTTTGKATTGATGTCGAGTGCTTTATAAAGTATCTTTCTCTACTGTTTTTCATGTTGTGGCAGTCAACAATAAAGTGARTGAGAACGATACCTTACGCCCTCTTTCAGATGAGTGATCTCCTGTGACTAACACATTCTTCTAATAATTGCACGCATCCGACTCTGACGTTTGACAGTTCGGGCCGTTACACCCCTGGAATACAACGCCAATCAAAGGAGAGCGTGAGTTAGACTGAAGCACAAATGACAGGCTTCCGTCTCTTATATGTATGCTTCGCACGTGCGCGTACACACACACACACACACACACCATGAAGCACAAATAAATATCTCAACAGGTCAGCCAGAAATTATATGGCACACTTCACCTGCTCCTGCTGCGGGGCTGACACAATGCAACACCTCTGCTGTGCACACGAGTGCCACTGTGCCAGTAAACACAAACAGCTCGCATCATTGCATCAGCACTTCAGAACCCTTTTCTTACTATACAGGCAAGTCACCTCTCACAGTTACCGTCCCACTTCAGTCATTAGGTAATAAGGGTTGCAGAAATGTACCGGCGTGTAGTGCTGAACGAGGCTGTTAATGCTGCAACTTTGAGCGTGGAGTGAACATGATTACCCCGGGGAGGTCCCCCCCCGCCTGCTTGCCAACGTGTAAGGCTTTTGATAGAGCGCGCCGTCGCAAAGCCAGTGACTGAGCCTCTGCTCACACACAGGATTCATCCAGAAGCCCGGTCTGCACGGCAGACAAAGAGCTGCTGTGTGCTCCCACACTGCGGATACACCGTCTGCACTGACAGGCCAATCCATGCATCAGCTCAGTCACTGGAATAAAAGTTTCTGAACGTCTGCAAACCTCTGATAGAAACCATTTTCTTTGGGGGGGGGGGG